ATCCCGCATGCCTTCGCTTCTCGTGAACTCCTGCGACCGACTCTCTTTCTCTCTCAGCAAAAGAAAGTGCTTACCTCGTGATATCAACTATTTACAACCGTTATTTCTTAGTTTCCCATTTTTTAACTATAAATGTGTGTCTCTTTGAAAATAGTACTGTACGCTCTTTCGTTATCGACACAAGAGGATTGTCAAAAAACGCAAGGATACTAATTCTGATTGTTCCGGATGACTAAGCATTTACGCGTTCGGATGACTAAGTATTTACGCGTTCGTATGCTAAGTGAGGAAATAGTCAGAATCAAAATCACGCGCTAGCTACAGAATGTCCGTTCGCGATATATTTCTTTCTTAGACCAAGGCGCAACTGCATCTCGAACCGCTAACCACCCGATATCCAAACGTGCGGGAAACATTTTAAAAAACAGGCAGAGTGCGCCTAAGAATGATTTACGGCCACACTTAAAAGCAGTGCCTGCAAGAAAACCCGACCCGACGATGGCCGCTGATCGCGCACATGTTTTCGCTCAGGTTTCCGCGGGCCTTCTCGACGCGCAAAGACCTTTTCCGACTAGTTTCTTTTACTAATAATATGTTAAGAATCATAAGAAATATTGTAAGCCAGCGACGCTAAATGTACTAGGGTTAAGATTAAATATAAGCACCGTAGAATTTCAAATTTGTAAGAGGGCGAGTGGCGAGTTGGACGGGTCATGAGCGATTCTGCGTGATGCGCGCTGACACGAGTCAATTTCAATTATAATAAAGAATCAAACGAGACGTTGAGATCCTCAAATTTTAAATTGTTCAGTTAGGAAAACTGCACCCGTGTGCGAAAGCCGCTGTCCGTCAAGCTCGAATAAGCATGCGCATCGCCAGAATTGATGTTAGCTTGCGAATCAAACCAGCAGATCGGAAACGTGTATTTCCGAATCTCACATCGAGATAAAGACTCGAAGGTTGAAAAAGTTGAGAGCGGGGGCCGTGGGCCCCCCTCGAAAACCAATCGTGAAACGTGACGCGAGCAGGACAGCAGGCTGAAAAACACCAACATTGGCGGCAAAGCGAAAATAAGCAACGCCCCACGGCCCTTGAGCCACGAGAGAAGAAAAAATTAACGGGAAAGCGGGAGAGGGAAAATCACATGCCTCTTTTTTGACTCGCTCAGCGGATTCGGGCAGAACCGTTCGACCTTTCGCCTAGGCAAGTTAGCGCCGTTTTTCTTCGTGCGATAGTTGTTCGCAGCTACTTGCGGTTTTCCTCACCTTATAAGAAACCTGTGAACCACCTCTGTACCTAGCGCTAATTTTATCTTTGTCTTATTGATTGTGTTTGACTTGTGTTTTTCTGTAATAAATCTTAATTCACCTTTTACCGATTTGTCGTTTCACTCCTCAACCCGAACACTGATGGAAAGATAAATGTACGCATATATTAAATCTAAAAAATTTATCTTTTCACGCGTTGCGGTTTTTGTAACCTATCAAATTGAAGTTATAATTTTTAGGCTGTGAAATTCGTTGAGAGCTTTTTCGCGTAAAATAAAGGCAGAGTGCAAGCAATTGGCATACTACGAGCTTTTCTTATCGGCAAATCCGAGTGTCTTTTAATGAACAATTTACCGGGGAATGCACATGGAGTTGTTTCACGAACGCGTTTGCGCTGAAAACCTTTCATTTGCCGCTGAATTTTTTATCGGGTGTACTTCTATTTGACGAAAGTTTGTGTGGCTAAGCTTTGAGTGCAACGAAACTCGTGCAAAAAAGAGGACGGCGAAAGTTTGTACTGGGGAATGCAATTGATTTTGTCGCTCGGTGCGGTGCATCAGGTTTCACCAACTTCAATTGACGAAAAAAACTTTTATTTTCCATACACACCTTTGCAAACTTGTTCTTGGATATCATTCAATTGACATAAAACGCCTAAATAACGAAAAATTGTTCGGGGCTTAAATACTAAAAATTACAGTTAAATCATTGTTCAAAATAGTATTACTAGTAATTTTATAAATAATATCAGGCGTAAGTCAGTCATTAGAAATCAAAGAAATAGAAAAGATGATAAAGTATTTATAGATACTAAGATGAACAGTATTGGTGTTCATCAAACTGTTTATAAAAGTAATTCTGACGGCGGGTTTTGGTTAATCGCCAAAGCTTAATTAAATTTATGCATTAACACATTTGCAATAAAATATTTTAGTTTCAGCTAAGGTTTCCACGTATTGAATGAATTGGACCTTGGTACTTATGAGATGATCCAAAAGTTGTCCCTAAGAATGCCTCATATTAAGAGGTAATGTAACAACTGAATTCGCTCTATTATGATTTGTTGAAGCTTGAATAAGGCGTGAAAAGTGTAATTAAATTATACTTTGAAACACAAATGTTTCGAAGTCTAATTTAATTACACTTGCCTCGTTAATTCAAGTGGTTCCAACAAATTGGAAGATTGCGTTTCGTCATAATGTTGGTCATTTCATTAATACAAAGCAATATTAGCTTGCTATCTATGATATTGAAATACTATGATATTAAAATACTATTATTATGAATTTTTGGTTTAAAGGAAGAGAAAACAAGTAGAATAAAATGGAGGAAAAAATATTTTTTATTTCTGAACATTTTATTAAAAGAGAAATATGAGTCCGTTGTATTTGAAGCATTTTGACAAGTACTTTGTTGCTAATAATATTCTAACACTAGGGTCATTAGTATACAAGTTAGCATGCAAAAGGTTTGATCAATGTAATGAACCATACAAAAATGTCGTTTGTATTGGTAAGAACAATAAATTCCTTAATTGTATTGTAATTGATTTTTTTTACAATTTGCATGTTATTTCACAAGTATAAAGTTTTTTGCATATGCGCATCGCATAGCATGTGATAAAGATTTGTGATCGGCTTACTACTAACAACGACGTAAACATCTCGTTAAATATTTATCTTGGAACGTTTCTATGCGGATGTTCAATAAATTTACCATTGTATATGGAGATGAATACGTTGATTCTTGAAATGTTAATAATCTTGAGGAGGAGCTGTAGCACGTACCGAGCTGTAAAAAATACATAAGATGGAGAATATAATCGATAGAAGATAGATAATGACTTTATTATGTAGTACTTTTGCTTTTTCTACAGATTTTCATAATAAAAATATGTAAAGGATCAAACAAATAAAAATGAAAAAATAGAAAGGTTAGGATCAAACTTGAGCGCAAGTCTAGATGCATCTACTTGATCTAAAAATCGGTTTGTATTCTTAGAAATAGCCCTTCAGTCTCTCGACGTGGACTTGGCCTTGTATTATTCAGAAAAGATAAAAATTACTTTTCTATGTCTCAAGCCTGCAGGTGCAACACTTTTCTTAGATCGCCCGTACTTGCATTTCCCCAAGTGAATACACGTTATCCTGCGCTCTTGCGTTCAATGCAATTTCAAAAGTGCAATGTAATACACTTGTTTATCTATTATTTTTATCTGGATCGATTTAAAATTAAATCATGATTTGTATCTCTTCTGAATTATATTGCTTTAAATTCGAATGCAGGATATTTTCCTGTATGACTTTTCTGTTTTAAATAATAATGGTTACATGAACTTCAGTGAAGGATATAGTACCATTTTATACGCATTTTCACTCATTTGATATCATCAACTTCACCTGCTTTTTTTTTAAAGATACAATTATTTTTGAAATTTCAGCTGCATTTGTATACGTATAGGAAGGACATGTTATTACGGTGTTGTTGGGCTTTAAATTTTTATTTTTTGGGATAAATTCAACACAAATTTGTTATTGTTATTAATTTTTACAGGCTTGTTTAATTGCTATTTTGCTAAAAAGTTTATTAAATGACTAACAGTTTCTTTGTACTTTTCATGTATGAACCTGTATATAAATCATTGATTATATCTTCATTTTTGTTTTTTTTTTATTTCTTATTAATTTATTGCTTATGTATTTATAGATATTTTTACTATTTTTAATATTTCTACCATATCCATTAAATTAAAACAATTTCTCTTGTAACAGTGTTGACTAACAACATAATCTTTATTCACTTAGTTTCAATTTTTTTTTCGTTTCAATTTTTTTTCGTCTATTTCAAGAATTTGACGAAAAAATGAAAATTTATGTAAGCTTTAATTAAACGAGACTTTTCTGCTTAAAATTCTTCATTTATGCTATTATTGTGTACATGTGTGTGTTTGGGGCTAGCGGCCTGTGTTTGTGTGTATTTCGTGTTATTTCTTGTATAATTCTTATTATTAGATAATAGCCAGAAAAAAATAAAAGTGCACTTTTGTAATGTTCTTCAGCGTTTGCATTATTTTATAAAATAAAAAACAAAAAAATTTTGATCCAGAAGTTCAAGCATTAAAAAAATTTGTTTAATTTTAAGTTTTACAAAAGTGCATTTCTTTAACGAATTTTGTCAGGTGTATGAAAAAATATTATTAACAGTAATGAACTTATTATTGCAATACATTATTCAATAGAAAATATCGATATATGAATTGTATGTATAAGTAAACAGATGCCATGAAAAAATATTCCATTTATAGTTTCAATAAATTTCGATACTGATGTAAGTAACACCTAAAATTTTTTACTATATCAAATAAAAAAGAAAAATATATTCATATTCATGCAGATTGCAAGTATTGAAAATTATTCCATATTTTACATATCTGATAAAAGATAATGCTATAACCGCCTATAAAGTTTTAACTAAATGACAGCTACAATTTTTATATTTATGATATGTAATAAATTGATCGGAGATATACTCGTATATAATTGTAATGCAACCAAAATTATAACGGGAGCTTGTCAATTAAAATTGAACGCGCGGTTCAGACAATGCGCGCGCAGTCGGCATCTTTTGCGCTCTCTTTTTTCGGAGCATTCACTCTCTCGACTTCAACCAATTGCGTCGCTTCACCCCCCTGCCATCTCGTCGAAGGCCTGTGCGGCGCCGCCATTTGTGATTCTCATTGCTGTCTATCGCGTCGCGTGGTCGCGTCTATTCTTCGCTCATTTACCTTGTTTTATCTACAATAAGTAACATTGGTCTTTTGCTTTGTTTTTATTGTGTATAGCTTTGCATTCAGTAACGTAATTACTGATTGAATTTAGTGTGCGCTATAATTTTTTAAATATTGATTCTTTCGCTATTCATACCAGTGTAAACGGGAAAAGCTAAGCATAAAATATCAGAAATGGCGGATAGATCAAGTAATGGACTTCAACAAGATAATCTCGGTGATAGTCAGGAGGAGAGACAACAATCAGAAAAAGCTAATGAATATATTCGAGAACTCATGCAAGAAAAGCTCGATGTCGACAACTCCAAGTGTCCCAATGCTGCGCGTCTTCTTGATCAAGGTATGGGTTTTATTAGTTTGTTTTATCTAATTTATATGTATATTTATAAATTTTAAGCCTCTCATGTCTTCTCATTGTTTTAAGATATAAAATAATCATCCATTTCTATTGTTTTACCTTTCATTTTTTCCGCGGTTATACCGGCAAAATATTTTAAGGTTAGCTAGACTCTTACAGAAATGCATTATATATACAATCTTTTCTTTAATTTTGATTGAAAGATTTTCTTTATGGAAGAAAAGCTTTATTGGATTTTTAATAAGTGATTTGAATATTTTCGTAATAACTTATAGTTTAATGCCTGATAAATCTTTATAGTTAGAAACAGAATTCTGTGCAAATTTATTTACTGTAGGAGGCTTCATGTCATAACATTAGGATTTTAAATTATATTATTATATAAAATATAATTATAAATATAAAAATTATATAGTTTGATCGGTATAATAAGTTTAAAGGTTGACCGCAATTATTTTGTAAGAATTATCAAAATTATCTGAATTGTTTGTCTGTACCTGATATTTAAAATAGTATTGTAGAGGAATCATCTTTCTTCATTTTTCATGACATGAATAAAAAAATGAAAGATTTTAATGTTAGCCAATAGACATAGTTTTCTTGTAATGATTTTTTTAGTTAGTTAGTTTATTCAATACAAAGTACTATAAATCGTACCTTTTTACAGAGGTAAATTAATTACCTTCTTGCAAATTAACATAAAATAAAAAAATAATACATAAATTGCAAAATAAAAATATTAATAATTAAAAATGTAATAAAAAAGAATTTGTAATTTTAACTTCATATTAAATCCATCTTATTCGTCATTTCTAATTTCATAAGTAAACTTGAGTTATATTCTCTTTGAATTTTGTTTTCATTTGCATGTATACTATCCTGAAAGTCTTATTTGTTAAATAAGTTTATGTTAATTTAATTTTTCACAAATATATGCTGCTTTTTTATTCTGTTAGTATATTAAGTTAACTGCTAAAGTGTAAAATAAATAACAGTATTGCAGCAGTGTGACGTTCGATTCTTACATTATAAATACCAAATTAATTTAAAGTATTCGATTAAAATTCTATTGTATATTGAGTATTATGAAAACTGATTTTGAACCTCATTTGAAAGTGGATAGTCTTGAAATTAATTTGGAATAAATATTTGTCATTTTTATGAGTAATATTAAAATAGTTATATTCAATCGAGTAGTTTTATTCATTATAGATCATTATGAGTTTATTAAATATATTGCACTACTGTTTATTTTTGTAATACATGACACTTTTCTTTTATGAGAACAGGAAATCAGGATAAATGCAAAATACAACCAATATTTATGCCTAACGTTACATATGTACAATTACTTTTTAGTAAAATATCTAGTGAGATAGCCTATAGATTTCTAGAGTTTAAAATATATGATGGTTAATTAAATGTTTTTTGATATTTTACTCCACGTTATATAGTTTACAAAATTATTTATTTAGAAACTATTAAGCTATATATTGTGTTTAATTGAATTTTTTGAAAATTTTTTATTCATTGTTTTATTTGCTTTAGACAATCATTTAATTAAGAAAAGGTTTGTAATTGTAGTCTAAAGCAATATTTTTATCATTATTTTTCTTAGTTTTAATTTTTATTTGTTAGATATTCACTTTCTACAAAAAAGAATAATGTTACTATATAATTGTAAAACTAACCAATTAATGCAAAATAAATCAATAAGGCATGAAATAGTTTATTCTTACAATTATAAATGTAATTATAAATAATTTTAACATAAAATTAACGATTGAAATTAATGATGGTATAATGATAATGATCATCTTTCCGAAAAAACGTGTACTTTTGATTCTTCTGAATGCGTTCTTCGCAAAGAAGGTAGTCGGTATAGCAACTTTTCGTAGTAATTAACGAACAGTGTCGCTACATGGCAAAAGACATCTTAACCCAAGAAAGACAGAGAAGAAGACTGAAAGGTAACGAGCGAAAAAGCCTGGCTCTGATACTCGACTTCACGTGGCTCTGTAGTACATGTTTGAAATACTCGGACGACCTCAAAGACGAATACACGGTTTGTTCATTGAATGAAACAGAAATAGCAAGATTCCAAACACGAATAAAAAAAATTGTGGTGCAGTAGAGCAAAAGAATTTTAATCTTAAAAACAAGACAAGATTGAAAATAATTAATCATATGTAATCTTTATTATTCTTTAGAATCAAAGTTAGTTGTACTGCTCCGTATTCATGCAGAATATAAATCGATGAAAATGTTTTTGCGTAAACATTAACTTCTCGAATTTCCTCTAAAACAGCGCTATATATTTACAACGTATATATATCAATACAATGTATAGTAAAACTTTTCTGAAAGTTTACAGTTATTTTTCTTACCAGAAACATCGAGCTCTGCTCACGAAAACTGGTGACCTGACGATATCTTTTTACAAGATACTACACAGTTCTTTGAAACTAAATTTTAAACGTCGGTAGAAAATTGAGAAGTTTTAGATAAAATTTTATTAAAAAATTATTTGCTGCATAATATTTTAGAATAGATTCAAGTAATTACAATTTTCATATGATTATAAAAAATGATGGTAATCTCTGTTTTACTTTGTAAATATATGTTATTTATTTAAATAAATATAATTATTATTTCAAAATCGAATTCACAAACATAAGTTACTTTTAGTCGCATCGTTAATAACGGCAAAGTAATGAAACTGGATGTAATGCGAGAATGTCAAAAAGAGAGCTTTATGAGAAATGAAAGAAGTCGGTAGGTAAAGTTTTAGAGTGGACCTCGCCGTCGTTTCGCGTACTGTCGACGGGATGGACGAGAAAGTTGCCACGTGGAAGAAATTTGAATATTTGACGCTTTGCTCCTGCATCCTAAGTCTCTTGAGATGACGGGAGACTTCAAAAAAATTTTTTGGATTTTTTTTTCTTTTTGGTAATCTAAAGTTGATTTAACTTATTACGTTTTTGCAATTTTCGTTGGATTTTCGGCATACTTTTACATCTAGTCTATAATGTACTTGAACTTGTTTGAAACTTTTTAAGATATTGTTTATACCACTTTAATTATTATGTTGAAAAATATACAATCTTTTACATTATTGCGCTATTTTTAAAATATCAAAAAACTGCGGGAAAAATAGGCGATAAATTTATAAATATATTAGTCTAGTTTCGGCCGTGAAGCCTCCAGCTTGAGTAATTGAAATAACGAGAATGTGCTTATCATTACATGTTGTGCTGGTGAATATATTTTTAACGGCTAAACAATTGAAACAAAGTTGACACCGTTTAGGTGAGCATCTGCCTGACTGTTTCGATAATCGACTTGGAGAGCTTGAAATTCTGAGGTCGGATATCGACAAAAGTTTTGCGTAACCAAGTCAGGTGCTCGTGATCAGGAATAAGTTCTCCTTTTGACAGGGACTTGCACCGCATCGTTAGCATTTCAAGCCGCGTCAGCTACGTTCTATTAAGCCCGGCAAACCTCACTTCTAATGCTACGTTCGTGCCTGTGTTGAGTTTAGTTGGTATGCTCATCGAGTAAAACGTACGTACTGTAGTGATATGAACATTTTTTCTTCTATACGTTGGTTCATTAGTTTTATCAATCTCGGATTTGTACCAATTTGAAGAATAGAAGGAAAAATTAGACTGCATATGTAAGTTCACGGCTTTTTTTGCTTTTCAAAATCTAACTTAAAACTGGAATAACAAGAAAAATATTCCATTTTTTTAATTCTTCGTATGAAATGACGTAATTATTAACTGATTTTAAGCCCGATTGGCTTATTGCGTACCATCCAGAATCAATGGTTTTTTAGCGTAATTTTGCCAAATTGGAAACACCTATAGTATGACCTCCTATTGGTAGTGTACTTACTATTCATTATGCAGTTGAACATCTAAGACCTTTCGCTCATATTTCATCCGTTAACATTCTAACTTTTTATTCCTGTTCTCAAATATCGAGCTCGTGTAGTAGAATTTAGCATGGCTTAAGTTTGCTAATATTTTTTTTGCCCAGTTACCCGTTAGTAGCATTTTCTCGGCCGCGACTCGGTTGATAACATGCTAATTTCGAGCTCGCTCCGTAAAAAAATAGTATAGGCACCACGGCCAAAAACTTGACAAATCCATAGCTTGGCTTCGTCCTTGTCAATTCTCACGTGCTATGAACTTACCAATACTTCTCCCATATAGGTACGTAATCTACTATTTCTATGATATTTTCATCTTTATGGACTTATGTTTCATGGGAAATAAAATAATTTCTAATAACTTAATACCTAGTTCGTTTGATTCTATAATTATAGTCTATTATGCTATCACAAACGTAACCATTTTTCAATTATAGTTGAATACGTTGTACTGTTGAATATAATTTTCACTTCAGTAGAATCTCCATATTTTTACCTTGAAAGCAACCAAAAGTTCAATCTTTTTGCTAATTTCCAAATGTAAACCATAAGTTGAATACAAAAAAACATTAGGTTAAACTCGTTTGTATGGGATAACCTGTGATCCGGTGGTATTGATCATTTTCTTTGCGTAACGGTTTCCTAGTTTGGTATTTCGAACTATTATTTTCTTCGAGATAGTAGAATCATGAATTCTGTGTTTCAAATGCTCTCTTAGTGCTTTACTCAATATTGTTTATTATTATAAGTCTGCTATTATTTGTTAAAACAAATTTATACGTTAAGTAAAAACACTTGATATTTTAGGCACAGCAAATTTATGGTTTTTGTTCTATGAACTTTTTTTTTCATCTTTTTTATTATACGAAATTCTTTCCTTTCTTAATAAAATTTAGGTTCTGGAAATCTGCTTTTTCTTATACTTTTCCGTATTTTTATAAGTTATTTTTCTTCTTTAATTCTACTTCCCATTGTTCCGGATGACTAAGCATTTACGCGTTCGGATGACTAAGTATTTACGCGTTCGTATGCTAAGTGAGGAAATAGT